AAGCGGCGGGTTGTGTAATAACAGTGCGCTGTTTGCCAGGCGACCCCTGCACTGCAGATTTGAGTGGATCTTGAGACACTGTGAGTGTGAGTGTGTGTGTGAGTGTGTGTGTGTGTGTGTGTACGCTGGGGGTGAGGGAGGGAACGAGGGAGAGCGAGCGAGCGAGAGATGAACCCACGCACAGCTCGGCAGCAGTAATGTATGCAGCAGAAGAAGCTAATTTCCTATTCCTCTCCCCCAGAAAAAGCTTCCGTGGCTTGCCAAAGTGCTCTATTTTTATCCTGCCCACCATTCGTTTCATTTCCCTGCTCATGCGCCCACCAGTTACGCCGCAGTATAAATATAATATACAGAACCTCTTGCAAATAACGCTGGACCGTTCTCCCAGACCACCTTCATTCACCCCCCGGCTGGAGGAAACACATTCAGGGTTGCTGCACTACGAGTGCGAGGAGTCACATTCGTAACCAGCCAAAGAGAATTCTGAGGCGAGATTTCAATTAGAGTTGATAACGATGGGAGCAGCACGTCTAGAGTTTCACACCCTCCCCAGACAACCTATTTATTTGTCCTTGGGGCCACACTTGTAAATGCGTGTGGGTGTAAATGTGTGGATAATTGAAATCGTATATCTGCTATATGATACTGCGTGGGGGAGTGATTTAAAAAGGCTGGTTCGATCAGTCAATGGACTGAACGTTAAGCAGAACAACATCGGCATGTAAGGTATATATCATTTAAATTTACTAAAAGATTATATTTTTATATCTGCAAGAATCTACAGAATGTATTACTAGTTGTTTCACAGCATGGTCACTTATTAATACAGTGCTAGTCTGGTTGCTCCATTTGACTTAGTGGTTGCGCCACCTGACTTTTCAGACTAATTTCAAATTAAACAGGCATCTACGTAGACTACTTACCACATCTACTACAATCATTAGTTTTAATAAAATAAACATAATGAAAGTCCCAAATGTGTTTCAGCTTTGATTTTGTACCAGTTCAGTAGAATCATCTACACATAAATTAGTGCAAGGCAGTGTGTATATTATAACCCAAACCTCTCTATTCATATCTAACATAAACAGTTACGCAGTTCTCTATAAAGCAACACTGGTTTAAAATGACAGGATCCTCTGGTCCTGATAAATTAAGATATTGGCTGCGAATAACAGGAATATATGTTCTAAGAGCTATATTTTTTTTATTATTTTGACTTCAGTTTGTTTTGTTGCAAGAAAAAAATTAAAAATAAGGCATTAACTCCTTAAAATTCCAGGCTTATTTCATACTAAGCCTTGTTATTAGTAAATACAGGAACTTCAGTGCAAACTGGCTGAGGTCTTCTTAGGTTATAGATGTGTGTAATAAAACAGAGTCCGTCAGTGGCCCCTGACCATTTAACGAGTTAGAAAATGTCCAATAATCAATGTGTAACGTATCGGTCGCTGATATTTCATGCACCCCCTGCTGCTGACAGTACATGCATCAGATGCTGTCGTGCCAAAGTGAGGTCACTGCAACAGCAACAACAGCAACAACCACCGAGCAGAAAAGGCCAGACATTTTTTCGCCATATCTGCAGGAAACTCTCCATCTTAGAAGCGCAGTGGACTTCCATTACGACTGGAAATAGCGTTGGTGGGGGGAGTTCGCAATCTGCCTCTCACACGATAAGATCTAATCTCATCGCAGAGGCCTCGGCAGATGCAGCGAAAAAAGAAATACCGCAAACAAACCACGCGCTCACAGATGTGTGTAAAAAAAAAAAAGGATAGTCCACAGGCGGCGGAGAAGCCACTTGGCCGCACCGCGTTCCCCCATTCGTCAAACGTGGCGTCCCCTGTGCTGGTGGGCACCTGTAGCCATAATATAATAAAAGTGTTGGAACTCGTGACATGACAGAGGAGGCAGGGTTTATTCTGGCATAGAAGAGAAAGAGAAAAACAGCACGTTGGAGTGGTAGAAATACAGAGAGGTGGAGACAGAGAAACGCTGACCAAAGGGAGAGCAAACTTCACTGGTCTGACCGATTTCACGACAGGAGATGTGCACTTATAATCATGGTTGGAATATTATATGATTTTGGATTCAAGTGGGTGCGGATGGTGCTGTTTGGGACCATAAACTGCAGCCATAATTACTATATTTTTAATTTTGAGATATTTCTTAGTTTACACTGTGATTAGGCTGGTTATTCGTTTACATACAACAATGCTGTGTGTTTGCCCTGATTGTAAAAAATCTGGAATAATACGTTTTCTTTGGGGACTATTTTGCCTCACAGCGCCCTGCATGTATCCCTCCATCATGAATGGAATTAAAACATGCTTTACATTTTCACAAAGCTATTATAAAACAACGTCTCAGGCATCAGGCAGCATTTCATGTATCAACACTCTGTAAGGTAGCTTCTAGATCAGGGGTGTCAAACTCAACCAAAAAAAGGGTCACTTTCAAAATTTCAACAAATCTGTGGGCCAAAAGGTTTTATTTCATGTTTAATTAATGTCGTGCTGTAACCCAAACTAGCCATTGTGTATTCAAAATACGCAAAAGCTTCAGCGGTAAAATACAGACACTTGTAGTCGGCCTTCAAATATTATATGAACACATGAAATCCAGGAGCTCAGTCTTTTAAACCTACCTGTCTGCTTGATCTTGACACCTGTCTTCCTTTCTTTACTGCAGGTTCATTAAGACTCGGGCTCAGGTTCTGAGCTGCTAAACTGACGGTCAGTGTTTATGTTGGTTGACCTGCAGCCGAAATGCATTTTGGTGATATGACTGGTGTTGAATTGCGTAGAATTGTGTAGAATTGAGGTGTAATCGATGTCCAATAGATTGTTGTTGGGTTGGAGAGTCAGAGTGCACATTACATTGCAGTGCATGCTGGGGACTGTAGTGAAACGAGCTAATATTAATAGAAAAATAAAATACTTTCGCGGGCCGGACAGGAACGTGTCCGGGGCCTTGACACATGGGTTGTAGAGGCATGGATGTTTGGACGTCTGGTTCCTATCACCACCACTGTGAGCAATTCTAAATCAGTAAATTAAACTCTGAACGGCTTTGTTTACATCTTAATTTCATTTTGTAGACATTTTGGAAAACTGTGGAATTGGCCTTTAAATGACATGACCTAATAATCTAAAACAGGAGGAAAGAAGAGGTGGCAGGTTTTCAAAGGGATGTTCTTTTTTTGTTTTGTGTTATTTTTCACCCCCTCCAACCCCTCATTAATTTAGCGTAGACAGGATTTTAAGGAATGAGAGCTAATCCGGTCCAGGAACGTGACGCCCCGCACGTTTTTGTGTTTTCCCTGCTCCGACACCTGACTCAGCTCATGAAGGGATTGGTAATTACCTGATGAGCTGGAGCAGGTGTGTTAGAGCAGGCCAAACACACTAATACACAGTGCAGGGGGACTCCAGGACGGCGGCCGGGAGCCGCTGCAATAACGAAAGAGCATTTTGCAAATTCGACCATGCTAAACGCTCCCCACACGTTTACCATCCTCACCAGCCACGAAAGCTTTTGTGGGTGAAGTGTTACTTTAGCAAAATCCTGCAAAACAGGCTGGGATAAATCAACAGCAGCAGACGTTTGTGTTAGACTGCATTAGAATGCACACATCAAAGATTAAATGCTATTACAAAAATCTTATTACTGTTCCAATTCATACTGCTCACATATGTGGCGTTATTGAAAATATGGCTCAGGTTTAAAATACTGTTAGATTTACAGATTTAGACTAAAACAGCTGTGTTTCTTGGCGACTTTACTGTGAGATGCACAAATAAAGGGCTACAAAACAAAAGTTCTTAAAGAGCCTGTATCAGGGAAATCTACATTTTCCTCTGTTAAACTTTCAATCCATTTACTTCCCCAATACATACAGACTGTAGATGATGATTATACTGATTTATATTGAACCATCCATCTATCCAGCCTCCTGCGGTTTAGCTCCACTCATTCACCTCAAAGCTATAAGGAGCGTTTCAGCCCGGGCTGCTTTTTAAATGAGGCATCCATCAGCCAATTAGAACTGAGGTTATTTGCATAGAAAGGTCTTACAGGCACAAAAACAGTTTAATTTTAGTGAATTATGAATCTGTTTTCGAACATCATATTATACAAACTCTGTAACTTTATTGATTAATTATTGATAACTCTGTACCTAACAAGCCACTCACCCATCAATCTATCACTTACTAAACAGAAACAGTCATAAAAACAGCCTGTTTAATCCCAAATAGAGGCTGGAAAATCACATGAAATATGAAGTATGACTGTTTTACAATCGGGACATAAATAAAATTACATATTAAATTCATTTTTGTCCTAACTGACAGCGTTTTTCAAACAATTATTGGTTAATCATTTACATTTGAATGCAAATGCAATTTTTTTATTGAATTCCTGCTAATTTTAGTGCACAGCTTCCATTTATCATGAGTTTAACATGGAAAAAAATCAAATATTAAATATAAAATGTGCCCTAACTTTTGTAAAAGCCACATTTTATGATGTATTTTT